CAACAATCTCTGCAACAAATGGCCAAGAAGCAGTCAAGTTGATTGATTCTGAGTTTAAATTATTAAGCAATATGTACGCGAGTTCATCTAATCCAGATATGGATCAAACAGAATCTCACTAATTTTAACAGAATGCAATTTAGTAAGTTTAATTTATTATTAATATTAACATTATGAAATATTCACAACTAATTAATTATTCATTATATTTAGCCAATAATGTCTTCTTTGAAATGATTTTCAATAGAAACTATAATAGAAAAATTTATTGTAATTCTTCACATAGTCTGAATATCCAAATAAAAAGAGCAGAATTGCTAGATTATAAAAAAATAAAAAAGTAGATATATTAGTAATTTTAATAGTAAATGATTTGGTTTATAATTTGGTATTAAGTTTTTAAATTTTTAAGATTTGGCTAACACAGTATGATTAATAAGTAATTAAGATGGTGAGTAAGTACAGTCAGACCTTTCTAAATATAACCCTGTCTAAGTACAACATCTCTCTAAATGCAATATTTAATTCTGCCCAAATATATACTAAACTCCTATAAATACAATTTTCTATAATTATGTGATGATCAAACTAATTACTATGTCAAACTTTTGCGATCATTACATTTTGTAGAATTAGATCATAACTACATTTTGCATAATAGTTAATTTGAGTCTAATTGATAGTATATATATAGAGTTATAGAATACTAATAAAGAAAACACTTTTACACTTTGAATACATTCTTCTTGCTCTTGTATATTGTGAAATAAATCGATTTTGTATATTCGATTTTTTTGTTGACACCAGACAATTTAATGCTTACGATTAGTAACTAAATCGGTATCAAAGTTATAAAGTCTCTCCCTCGTCGTAACTCCGTTTCTACCCGGGTTGCCACAATCCAACGCGGGTCATCCGTCATCTGTGGGTAATCCGAGTAGCACCCGATCACTAGAAAAACTTCTAGCTCCTGATATTTGGCATTATCATAAAACATATCTTTCTGCTTATAAGAATATTTTGAAAAATCAAACATAGCTTTCTTGAGAATTTATTAAGTCATTAAAAAATATGATACATTTCAATCAACAAGATATAAATTAAATAATAATAATAGCAATGAGAAAAATAGTTAATGACCTCGAATAATTCGCGTAATTTCACATAATATGTAAGCTAATGTAATTTATTAGTTATTAGAACAGTTTAACGCCCACCGGGGGTGAAATTAACCAGGTATGTTGTTTCTCAATAACGGCTTTGTTAATCGGTATTTAGTATACTAAATAAAAATGTTCGACATCCTAAAAAATTCTAATCCCTAATTTGTTGTCTATAATAATAATTAAAAACATATCGTGGCGAATTTCACCTTCGGTGAATACTAACTGAATTCTAGTTATAAACTCTAAATTTCAAAATTCATAATTCTACATAAACTTTAATGTAACTAAAGTATTATCTTTGTAAAGATTTTTTTCTAATATTTTGCATTCTTTAAAGCTTAGTTGATTATCACAAATATTTAACTCAATTAAGGTAGTGTTTTTGCAAAGAGCTTCTACCAATACTCTTGCACCATCATAACCAAGTAGATTATCACTAAGGTCAAATGAAGTTAAAGCGGTATTTTTGTAAAGAACCTCTGCTAATACTTTCCCCTTATTAAAAGTAAGTTTATTATTAGAAAGAACTAAATTAGTTAAAGTTTTATTGTTGTAAAGGGCATCTGCTAATACTTTTATTGCTTTATAAGTAAAGAAGTTGCCACTTAGATATAGGGAAGATAAAACTATATTTTTATAAAGAGCCTCTGATAAAACTTTGATACCGTCAAAAGAAACTTGATTTTCACTGAGATATAAAGAAGTTAAGGTATTGTTCATACAAAGAACTTCTGCTATTGCTTTTACTCCTTCAGAACCAAGTTCATTATAAGAAAGATCTAAGGAAGTCAGATTAGTATTTTTGCAAAGAGCTTCTGCCAATATCTTAGCTTCTTTAAATTTCAGATAATTATATCTAAGATTTAAAGAAGTTAGAGAGATATTTCTTCTAAGAGTTTCTGCTATTGCCTTTACACCTTCAAGACCAATTTCATTATATCCAATATTCAGAGAAGTTAAAACGGTATTCCCACAAAGAGCCTCTGCTATAAGCTTTACTCCCTCAACACCAAGATGATTATAATAAAGATCCAAGGAGGTCAGAGTAGTGTTCCTGCAAAGAACTTCTGCTAATG